TTATACATTTTTGTATACAGGCTTGCGTTTGTGATTGTATCCTATACGTTCATTCATGATTTTTTTTGCAAGTAACAATAAATTACATTTTAGTACGTGATGGTTTCTCACTCCCCTGTATTTACTTTTCCTGTGCAATTGCTCTCTCTTTGTACCTTTGATTTCATTAGCTTGTCGACGAGCTCGCAAAACGGAAGGAGGTGGGTCAATGCAAGACCCAGGGAGATAGACTGAAGGTTCTCAATTGCATACGACTGCTCACTCGCCTGATCCCCATCCTGAGTGAGACACCCATGTATGTATTTATAGCCAAAAGACTGATTGCGTTTGTAGTCCGTTCTCGATACCTGTTGTTGCCACAATATTGTGATTGGGAACAGAGGTTATGCCCGGATGAGCGTTTGGTGTTTCGCTTTCACACTGTGTTATCGCCACGGAAGATCATTGTGGCTATCCAGATAAAGCGGGGTGCTTCTGTTCGGTACACATTCTATCGACGCTCAATTTTACTTCCGATACTTTAAACAGCGTTAAACCCGCAAGCACCAAAAGCTCAGGCGATGGAGCGAACATATCAACAGCCACAGGCAGTGCGAATACAGCCGCACACTCATCGGGCAGAGAGTTGATGAATCGTCTGTTCTGGAAAGAACGTCCCATCACTCTCTACCGCAAGTCTCATGTGGCGGTGGATACGGCCAATACCAAAGGCACGTCTACAGACGACTTGGATGTGCAGTTTGCTCTGGATGTGGATAACCAGGTGGGTGTGGTGGTTGCTGGTTCTAAGTGTGTTTCAGGGCGACGCAAGACACAATGACCGATGACTGCTGGGATTTTTTTTGAGAGTCGTTTACAAAAGTCGTACGTGATTATAGACACCGCAAATAAATAGCGCACGTCTACAGACGACCTGGGTTTGGAGTTCCCAATAGGAGTAGATAAGCTGGTAGGATTATAGGTAGATAAGCAGATAGGAATGGGGGTAGATAAGAAGGTAGGATTAGGGGTAGATAAGCAGGTAGGATTAGGGGTAGATATGCAGGTGAGATTAGGGATAGGCAAGCAATTAGAAATAGGGGTACTGGAGCCGGCATATCTGTTGTGCAACATACCGGGTTCCTGTGCACACAGGCGGTATTTTTTACTCAGTTTTCAGGCTAAAAATGACGGAATCTTCTTTGCGTTCAATGCCATCAACGCGTAGAATTGAACACGTCCACCCACTGTACGCGGTACTTTTGAAGAAATACAGTTGAGTCGCGAGCACGCTCACGTATGCGCATTTCAACGCTATGTGCTGCCCATTCTACTGTGCGGGTGGATCTTTGCTTCTTCACTCCTTATAAGTATTGGTAGATATATTTCGCAGCGTATCTACTCTTCAGAATAGATTCTAGATACTAAAATCTTAAACCCTGAACCCCAAGGCTTATCACTCAAACCCTGGTCGCTCTGTGTACTTCTCCCTCGTTCCACCGAGTATTAATTTAGGGGGTCCAACCCCTAAATTGTATGCCCCAAATTCCAAATTCCAAATTTCAAATTACAATTCAAATAGAAAACACCTAAAATATCCCTGTATGCGTGAACCATTCTCCCTCATCCCACAGAACATTGGAGCTGATGTGTCTGAGCAAATGTCCAACGCGCAATTGGGAGACAACGAGACGCCCACACGCGCATCAGCCGGAGATGTGCACGGTATGGACTTGCAACGCCTACCATCAGTCTCCTCTATTACATCTGAGAATGCACTACACACGCCACGACCCAGCAGCACAGATAGCTTAGCCGCACGCGTGAGAGCCGAAACATCCAGGTAAGTATGCATGATATGTGTAGGTACAATATCGGTAGTTGAAGCTATACCAACGATTTGTGAGTAGCTCTGGTATCTTTAAATATACACACACACACACACACACACACA